ACACACACACACACACACACACACACACACACACACACACACACCCTCCCTCTCTCTCTCTTCCTCCTTCCCGCACCATCTCCCTCTCTCTCGCTCCCTCGCTCACCTTCTCCCTCCTTCCCTCCCGCTTCCTCCCCCTCTTCCCTTCATTCCCTCCCGTTTCCTCTCCCTCCTTCCCTCCCTCCCTCTCCCTCTCCCTTTTCTTACCTCTCCTCTCATTTCTTCTCTCACAGATCGCAAAAGCTGACGACCTATGACAGGATTAAGAATAATAATGTAATGCTACTCTCGGTGATAATGCTTATAATGATGTTTCTATCTAATCACTCAGTGAGAGGAGATTCTGCTATCAGTTTCGCTGTTGAGTTTGAAGCGCGAGGTAACTGTCTTATTTTTCGAATATTTATTTTTTTCTAATTACAAATAATGATTTTAATTTAAGGAATTTCTACGGGTCTATTGTTTCGCATCAAAAAGGCTGGATATTGTTATTATGCTTATAATCATGTCGATGAAGAAAGTATTCATAAAAAGGAAATTTTATCTAAAAATTATCGGAAACGTAGTGCCGTAAGCAACATGATTATTATAACAAAAAATAGAAAAAAAGACATGAATAAAGAAATGTCGAGTCATATCTTTTATCGCTGTCGAGATAAGTGGCTTCCAACTTTTTTCATTTTGTGGCCCCGACCAAAAAATGATACATAAGTACCTCCTTGGCCCCGTTCAGTGACTGCTACTTTTCAGATTCAGTTACCACTAGTTAGGGATAGTGTAATGGTGTCAGAAGCTATACGGCAAGAACACTATAAGGAAAGGTTCCAACGTATTGATATTTGAGAGATAATTATATCTAGGTACTGTAGGTGAGGTAAAATTCGACGTCATTTTCATGTTGTTCTATGGTCATTTCATGTTGTTCTGGGGGCCATAGCTCCTTGGTTGGAAACACAGGGTCGAGGTAAATGACATGGGCAACATACCAAACTTAGATCTAATTGATTTTGTGAAACTGACCCTTCATTTACAGTACGTATGCAGTTTAGTCTCACTGAGTTATTCCACTCGTACTTAAGAAAAAGTAAGCATGTTGATTTTCTTTCGTCTATCGAGTGCATCATCGACTTTAATTTCTGCCTTCGGGACCTTTGCACTGCATGTATTTTTACGGTCTGGTGCAAGCGTGTGGGATGATAAGTGTTATATAGACTAAAAGTTCACTGACTCGCTGAGCCTCGTGTAAATGGCTCTGTAAAGTGACAGGGAAGGACAAAGGTTTTAGTTTCTCTGCAGATCCCTATTTCGTTTCTCTTAGACAAAATGCTGGCGACGAAGAGATTGCTGCCTCGCCTTCCTGCGGCAGCCTCGTACGGTCTCCCTCGCTGCCTCGCCGGCCCCTCGCGCGCGCCACGCTTCAGCCACGCCGCGTGAGTCACAGCTGGTCTGGTAACCGTTCTTTTTTGTAGATGATTTCAGCAATGCAGTCTGGTTCATGACTGTGCAAGTAATGCGTTTTGTTAAGGCAAATCAATCGATTAGAGCAAAATACCAATGCACATTATATGCCATAACATGTATCCTACTTGTGCTCGTTGCTACAATCGCTGTTCTAGGTTACATGCCATTTCCCAGCCATTTTATAACCAGCATTTCTCGTGGGAAACAAAAACTTCAGGTCGAAGAGCGCCGAGAACGGAGTCCTGTGGCTGCATCCGGCGGGAGGAACTATCGAGAGGTTAGACGTGGCCGCGAAATACGCTCAGCTGAACCTGCTCGGCTGCCTCACCATCAACAGCTGTCTGCCCCTTGAACCGGCCCACTTCGAGGAGGCTCTCAAGCACCTCCACAGGTACTCAGCCCCAGGAATCTTTCAGAGAGTAATAGGCGCTCCATCAGTGTTCACCTTCTCCTTCCTTTTGGTATGGGAAATACACCTGTAAATCTGCATAAGCTGATCAGTGATTTAAAGGATTAATCATGTTTTCTCTCAATCGACAGGAAAATTAGTCCCCTCAGAGCATGTTTCCGCTGGAGGGAAGGGACGCTGTGGGTGTGTGAAGCGCTCGATCCCCAGCTGGACTTTCTGGTAAGTTTTATCCAACAAAACATCTAAAAGAGGAGATATAGAGCAATAATAATAATAATAATAATAATAATAATAATAATAATAATAATAATAAAATTATTATTATTATTATTATTATTATTATTATTATATAATTAATTAATAGAATTAAAAAATAATAAAAAAAAAAATAAAAAAATAAAACTCCTTGGTATCCTAGTCCATTCTAACAGCGAGTCGGATAAATAGGAAGAATATGATAATGCATTTCCATTGTTTCTGAGTCTGGTTAGTTAGCTTAAATAAAGGAAACTTTATCAGTAGGTATATAATATGAATGTGGTGCGTCAATACTAAACATATATATATATATATATATATATATATATATATATATATATATATATATATATATATATATATATATATATATAATATATATATATATATATATATATATATATAATTATAGTACAAGCACACACACACACACACACACACACCACACACACACACACACACACACACCACACACACACACACACACACACACACACACACACACACACACACACACACACACACACACACACACACACACACACACACACACACAACACACACACATATATATATATATATATATATATATATATATATATATATATATATATATATATATTATCATAGAAGACAAAATAGCACTAAAATTAAATTAGTCGGAGAATTGAATCTCTCCACTCATATGCTAAAAATATGTTTGCAATTGGTATCCAACAGAAATGTTCATATTTCAGCAAGGAAAACAAATTGACATTTTACCTTTTTACAGTTCAAGCGTTTTCAGATAGATACGCAAGCAAATCAACGAATATGTAGTGGTTGTGTCACTTACGAATTTACAGATGCATGGAGGATTTCTCTGCTCAGGTGTTCTCTAAGAGTTGTCCCTATCTGAACGATTTTCTTTTTCTTTTCACTCGTTTTTTTTTTCATTTTTCCTGGCCTGAATGACCTGGTAGGATATTTAGACTATCCCGTGTCAGCTTTTTGCCTGTGAGAAAAGCGAACGATTATGGGAAAGACTAGAAATGATGAGAAATAGTAACAGTACCTTTACACTACCACGACGCGTGTCGATTTACCTTTAGTGTTTGGTTTTCCGATGTCAATTTTATTTTCCCAAGCAATAACAATGTTCTTAAAACTGAAAGGGAATTCAGAGATGATGGTGTTATTTGTCAAAGTATCTATGAATTTTGCAAATGTCACCTTCCACGCTGCAGGATAACACAGGAACGTTATATGACACCACAATAGGGACAAGCAAAACGTATGCTGAAGTATAGGTTCAACTTGGCTTTGCTGACACGTATAATGCTGATCCCGTGTTCCTTACAAATGTCATGGAACACTGAGTACATGCTTGAAGTCTTGGGGAGAGAAGTTTACTGTAAAGGGATTACAAGCCAGCACAGATTGTAGGTCAAATTCATGCTCTCTAAAGATGAACGGTGTTATCTGGACTTCGAGAAGCTGAAATAAGTTGCCAATCTTTATGCAGAACCTTTAGTTTTCCACTTTTTAAACATCCGAAGGGAGACACGACCTTTATACAAAAGTTGCAGAGAGAGGGAAATAGTATCTGGAAGTAATACATAACGCTTTTCCAAACAACAAGTGGGAATGTGGGCGACAAACGCTATTTAGTGGAAGATAAATTGGGTATTTGAAGTGCTCTGGGGATACTGACACATTATTATTAAGATTACGGGTAGTGGAAGATAAATGCACGATGAATAAAGGTGTAGTTGATGGTGATATGTAGATGAGTCGTATTTTAAGACCATGTACGTAATGTACGAAATGTATGACCTTCACAAATGAAATCCTTATTTTTTAGCAAAAAAGCCTTTTGATTATCAACAGCCATCACAAAAAATTGTGCAAGTATAGGCGATTTTAAAGGTAAACTGAAGAAAAAAATTACTCAGAGATCTTTGCAATGGTATCGCGACAGCTATATAGCATTTGATTTTGATGAAATTAGAATTTCTCGTAGGTGAACAATAAAAAGATAATTCATTACGAAAAGCCACTTAAATTTTGTACATGGATATTTTTGTCTGCTCTATCCACATCAATAGAACACAACAAAACTTGCCAAAGTGCCCCCCTTGTAGTTCAAAATGCATCAAGTAGAATTTATTTTGTGCTACTATGCCTTCTATCCCGATGGAGTGCGGGAGGCAGTGCTCATCCCGCCTGGGACTCCTCAGTCAAACCCCTCCCCCTAAAAGAATCAATTAACAAAACTAAAATGAAGTACACAGCCAGTAATTGGATCTTCATCCTTGGTTATTCGAGAGATCTTCATTTACCATTTTGCAGGCATTGGTCTCATTTTTGGCTAGGGGTGTGATGTTGAGATAAAAATCGAATGAATCATGCGAAGTGAATGAGTTTTGGGTAATATTAGACCGGGTTCTGGCTATATATATATAAGGTTTTAAAAAATGTGCCGAAGTTTTTTACCAGTTATGTAAGTACAATATAAATATAATTGTCTCTTTTGAGATAAAAAATAACACTAATGTTCAATTTCCTTGTACAGGTTCTAAAGGATTCGGATGTGACAACAACAATCAACAAGCTTTTGATTCAACCTTTTGAGAATTCAGCAGAAGCACCTCTCTGGCGAGCTCGACTCCTCCCGGCAGCCCCTGGCGTCCCGTGTCCAATACCAGAGATGAAGGAGAAATTTCCTCACCAGTATGACCTCATGCTTCACATCCATCATGGGCTGTCTGATGGCATCACTGGATTCGTGATTTTCAGTACATTTTTGAAGCTACTGGAGGCTGTGGTTTTGGGCTCTCCTATTAGCAAAGAACAACTGGGGAAGTTGGTGAGTGGGGAACAAAGCATGGACATCGAAGGCGAGGTGCTGAAGAACTTGGAGAGCAGACCAGATGAATTCCAGCGCATGATTGATGAAACTGCGAATACCAAGTTTACACCACTCCTCGAGCAGGCCTTTGGAACTCCTGAAGAGGGAATTTCCCCCACAGAATACGTCATGACCGACATTGAGCCTCGCCTGTTGCAGAATTTCCAAGAGCGATGTCGATCCCATGGTGTGACCGTCAACTCAGGAATGACTTCGGTGATCAACACAGCCCTGGTAGAGCTAGTGGCGGATGCGGGCTTGGAGAGGGATGCGTACAGCATAACCAGCCGTCATCCAGTCAACCTGAGGCGTTACTGGAATGGCGACCCCGTCACAGCCATGGGCAACCACATGGGCGCTATATCCCACACCATGCAAATACCTCGTCACAACAGGAACACTTTCTGGGAACATGCCAAGCAGTTTGATACCGAGTTCCGCAGGAAGCTCAATGACGGGGACATCTTCCGGGAAAAGATTGTCAGATCCAAGACTCTGCCGAAGGACTATAGTCATGACTCCTTCTATGGCTCCCCTCCTACCTCAATATATGACTATATGTTCAGTAATATTTTAACGCCTGGATTCTCAGATTATGGAATAGGGAAAACAGTGCAGTTGACTGCAGCAAAAAATATAAGCAACATAAGCAATTGTGAATACTCGAGCATGCATTTGCTCTCTTGGTTCCGTGACCGAGTCACATACAACATTATGTATGCCTCAGGCCGCGTCAGTCGTAGTACAGTGCAGGCATTCATGTCCAGAATTGTGACAGTGTTAGATAGATTTTCAGGATGAATAGATGTGTGCATTGTTCCAAATGAACAATTTTCGATTTAAGTCGAAGGGAAAAGTTTTAATGCCATTTATTTGACAAGACTTGCCCTCATTTCAGCAACATCGTAACCACGATCGCATTAGTTCGTCAGAGAAATAGATTAACGAAATTTGAGTTTGTTTTCTTTAGCAGCCTTGGCTTTCAGATAATATCATCACTGTTTTTTTTCTGAAATGAATTTTTGTTGTACCAAACATGGTCAAAGAAAAAGAAATGTTACTCTGAATTTGACTTGCTCTTTACTATGACTGTTATGTATGCACAATAAACTTGCAAATCACGGTAGAGTCTATCATATAACATAAGACAATCTTAGACAGTAGTTACGGTTACAATGATTATCAGTCTATATTATTGGTCTACATCTATCTCGCGGCACATTTGCTATTTCAGTCTTACATTTAGCCGTTTTACATTATTAATTAAGCCAGTCCTTCGCCATTTAGGACTGTCACTTGCATTCTCACAAAGTTTTTTTTTCTAATGCTGTGTTTTTATAATGAATGAAATATCCTCTTACGTTTTTCCGTCAACCTTATGACCGTTTCGTCGCGGTGACTCACGACTACCTGGCCCGCACACAGCACACGAAGGTGAAATGCGGCCCCTGAGTGAGTGAGTTTGACAGCCCCGGGCCTCGAAAATGCGATAATTTGGAAGATGAGGAGATAACACATTATTTTGAAATATAATGGTGAAAATGTATGAAAATACTCGTATCCTCTAAAATAGAAATTAAAAAAAACGTAATGAGTGTCTAGATTACCTTTGCTTGAGAAGGCATGTATGTTTATATATGTGTATGTGTACGTATGTCTATATATATGCTTATATGCATGTACGTGTGTGCATTTGCATGTGCGGGTGTGTATGTGGGTGCAAATCAAGTGATACTTTTTAATCCCTTCCGGAAGAGGCGTAAAAGTTCGGTTTATAAGAGCAGATTCCCTTCTGTGTGCTTGCAACAAAGGAAATCCCACAGAATTAAAAAGAAGATTGCCATGACTACCATAATGTATCCTTCCCCTCCCCCGCCACACAAACCAAAAGGAACTCTACAGAAGCTACATATGTTTCCCGTATCATCATGTAACTAATGAGAGTCTACGTATACCGCATATAGGGGCGAAGTGAGTGCCAGAATGTGCAAGAATTAGTGTGCAAGAATGGCTAAAATGGGTGGGATGGCATTGCCTTGTATCAGACCTCTTGTTGCCGTTAATATCAGTCTCCGGGTTTGTATGGTGAGATGAATTCCTACCATGCATTTAAGGACTGATATAGAGTGCTATTAACTCTGTTGCTTTGGCTGCTTCTCAGAACAATTTACCTCTTCTCTGCCTAAAGTTAAGACAAAGCATTATCCATTACATAACGACAAGGGGCGTATCTGACATATATATACCTTATTTGATTGTGTAATGTTCTCTCTGTTTTAAGTCACTTTTTTTTGTTTAGTTCGTATCCGCTACACAATGGAATTATGATGTATAGGTTTCGAAAATGATGTTCTATGTTTATCTTGTTTTTTATTTGTGAACACATTGCAAATGAATTCATATCAGCATGCATATAGTATATGAATTAATCAGTTGCTTACTTTTAGAAAACAAATGTATTACGTTTTCATGTAAAGGAAGTTTCACTAATGAGTTTATTTGAGAGATTAATTTTAATTGGCTGAACATTTTTTGATGGTCGAAAAATTGTGTGCAGAGGTCAACAGAACAAATATCAGCTGCACAGAGTCTGCTTATGTCTTCAGTAACGGACCAGATTGCGGTTCAGGGTTTCCAGGGCTTGCTATTTAGTCTCAGGATTTATCAGAAGTTAGGGTCTCTTAGTTTAGGTTAGTCCTAGGGAACCCAGGACAAGGCAAATGAGGGTTCTCCAGCCCACGGTTTCACCGGGTTGTTCATCCATCCAGTGCCTTGTTTTATCCCATTGCTCTCATCCATTGGTCTACACCCTAGAACACCTTTGGCTCTAGATATTTATAAACCTCGGTATCCTCTTCTTGTTCACAGTGCGTCAGCTACCTGAGATCCCACTTGAGTTCTCCATTATTCTTGTACACCCGTCCGTGTTCTCATATAATTAATCTGTGCTTAAAAGTCTCTGATTTCTTTCCTCGCGTCTCATTTACATCTATATGCCTACTCTGACCCATACTCTGGGTCATCTTCTCTCTTCTCTCGATCGTCTGTCAGCGTACACGCGAGACTCCTTGATATCCTCTTTACGCTTTTTAGTGGTAATGATTTCTCTCTTTGATATTCTTAGCCAGCGCGTGATAGCCCATTCTTCAGGACTAGCTTAGGGTAGTATCGTTGAAGGTTAACGTTTCGCAATTTTTGCGCTAAAGCTTCAAGCCTACTTTAAACTCTTCTTGCTCAACCAAATCGTCCAGGACTTCTTCGACTTCCTGGGGTCCCCAGGTTCTAAGTCCTAGAATTTCTCCCAGCGATAGTCCGCCCTCATTGCTTGCTCCTTCGGCGTCTCTGCTCTACCGTATGTCTCGCTTACTCTCAGTCCCCATGGGGATCTAGCAGTCTACCAAGCCCACACCCGACCCTACAATGAGCCAGACTCTATAGTTCCCTCTTCTCTACATCTCAGTCGTCCTATGATCTTCTCCGTGACATATTAGAGTGCATATCTTTCTTCTCTCTCTCTCAGATGGAGCTACTGCTATACTCAATCAAACCAGCATGCGAAGAAAGTTCTGGTTTGCCGCTTTACGTCTTGAACATTCATCCCCTTATGAGGCACATCATAGTCTTCTCCTCCTACTTCTTTGCGCCTCCCAGCAAGCTGGCTTCTCTATTCTGCTGTCAGTCCGGACCCCCCTTTCCCCCGCCTCTCTCTCTTACTCCCTCGCTCTCTCCTCCCCACATATTTCAGTCAAATACACCTAAAAATCCCTCCCCATTCTCGAATTCCTTTCTCACATCGCCATCAAACTGAAAATCCACTGAACCACCTCTTCCTTCTTCTCTCTTGCCTCTATCTCCCTTCTTCTTCCCTTTTGCACATTTACATCATATTCGCCTGCCCCTTAATCAGTCACACTCTGCATTTACAGAGAGACCTATCTGGGAGTTAATGACTTCGAGATCTTTCTACTCCTTTTCCGCTTCCTCAGGCTCCCATCTTCCTTGCACTTCATTTTTATCCCTCCACACACCTCCTCTTCTCACCTCACCCAAAGCCTGAGAACCTCAAGCTCCATAATATATGCACATGAGAATTAACGCGTCTTCAGCGGCAATAAAGCCTCTGACTACTCTTAATTAAATTTCCCTCCAGTCCCTTCCAGTCAGTTTTCACTTTCACTCCCATTTCCTCTTGTAACTTGATCTCCTACTTCCTCCGTCGTTAACCATATGGACCCCCCAGTGGGAATTCGTTCTTCTTCATGACTCCTCGCATCGGGACCTGACTGCATCCAAAGTGGCCCGCAGTAACTCTCCTCTCTCGTCGTATGCCCTCAGTTCGAGCGATTGTGCTACCTCGATTCACACCATGGCGCTCGCTTCCTCTTTGCTGCCCTTCTTCTCTCTCCTTGCTCTCTCGCCCCTCGGCGGGTCTCTCTCTCTCTCTGCGGCGTGTCTTCTCGGACGCCACGTCTGAAGGACCGTGTTGGGGCACTCCCCGCGTGGTAGGTCGACTTACATCCCCTTTGCTGCCCTCTCGATCGCAGGGGTATCCGTCCCCCGTTTGCTTTCCGGACACTCCTCGATCTCGCTCAGACTGATGGAATCAGGAATGATGAAGAAGTCTCCCCGGCTCGAGCGCCAGCATTGAACCACAGCTCGTCGATGTTGCTTGAAGTAGGCCGTCTTGGGAATCGACTTGCCGGAGTTCGAGAAGAGCGTGACCAGGACGAGGAGGGACGTTAAGGATACCATGATGCGATCCTAAGGGAGGTGAGGGATGGCGATTATAAACTGTTTATACGGGACTCACGAAATATACAAAGAGAATAATAATGTAAAGAGAAAGTCATTACCAAAGGAAGGACAAAATTACAATTGGAAAATATCGTAAAATGAGGAATGAGCGACTCTAGATAGAAATGGATTCAGCGGCAATGTATTACATTCTCACGTATAAGATTCAAATCGACAGTTATCACTTGGTGACGCAAAGCCACTGACATTGAAGTCATCCTCGTCGAAGAAGAGAGTGACGTAGCAGAGGATCGTGAGCATGAGGCTTGGAATGAAGACGTTCCCGACGTAATACAGGAACTGATTTCGGAATTTCAACTCCACCTGAAAGCATTCGTGATGATATTATCTCACCATAATAACATAGTATCATTAACACTGATTATTATGATAACGAGGAAATATTACGTTAATAATAGCAAGAACAACCAAAATGTGTGATTGTATGTTTTAAGTGTGTGTGGGAGGGAGTGTCTCGGTCTAAAACCCTCTAAGAAATATGACTTGAAAACCCACAGCGACGTGACTCGCGTTGTGGTCGTTGTACACGAAGGTCCTCTCGCCGTCGAGGACGTACTCCATCAGGTGTCGGTCCCCAATAAACCGGGACTCGTTGGCCTCCTGCAGGAGAGTCAGGTCGGGGATTTACTAATGGTTTACATTTGTGTGTGACTGTATATATACGTGTCCGTAGATACAACTTATATGTATATGTATACAGGCCTTACTTTTCCTGATATCTAAATTGTATATACTGTTATGCATACTTGCCTGCATTAACCTTTCTTATGTTTATAGATAATGTCCGAGACTTTTATGATGAATAACCAGCATATATTACAGATAGAGTTAACCTGAATGTATATATGCACCAGTCATTAATTATCTTATTGATCCAAAGAAAGAAAAAAAAAAGAAATGCAAGAAATGAACTGACCCTTAGATACAAAATTAATAATAAATAACTGAAATTTAGCTTTGTATCTCATCAGCTTTTCCCCCCACCCCCCCCAAGAATAATAATAATAATAATAATAATAATAATAATAATAATAATAATAACAATAATAAGTAATAGTGCCAATAATTACGATGATAATAAATATTGATAATAATAGAGAATAGACGAATAAAACTCACCAGTACAAAGTACCCCAAAGAAAGGTCATAATCGTGTATTTCAAAGGCGAGGTAGCACTTCTGTTGGTCGAACGGGTACATGACCAGGTCAAAGGAACAGGCAAAATTCACCGTCATTTCCTCCTGAAAACGGACGTAGTTTTCGGCTCCGCTGTACATGTAATCTGTGAGGAAAAGGGGGGGGGGAGGGGGTATTATTGGTTCCAGCGAAGGTTTATATATTTGTGTTATCTTTGTTTCTTTTTGTTTTTAAGTTTTTTTTAACACATGTATTGGGTTTCTGCATTGTACTGTTAATTAATCTGCATATAGTGTTAGATGGTACCTGAAAATTTTCTCTTTTTCTCCCTCTTTCTCTCTCTCTCTCTCTCTCTCTCTCTCTCTCTCTCTCTCTCTCTCTCTCTATATATATATATATATATATATATATATATATATTATATATATATATATATATATATATATATATATATACCCCATCCATCTTTCCACACTCCACAAATTGTTCCCTCCATCTTTCCCTTTCTACTTTGCTCCTCCCTCCTTCCCCTCCTGACTCCTCCTTCCTCCCTCCCTCCTTCCACTGATTTTCCTTCCTCCCTCCTTCCCTCCCTCCCTCCTCCCCTCTCCCTCTGACCAGACGCACTGGACCCCAACCTTCGTAGATAGTGCTGTCGTCATCTGGCACGGGCTCCGCCATCTTGACCACGAAGGCGGCCGTGTTAAAAGGGTTAGCCTCGACGCTGCCTTGCGTCATGTCCGTTATCTTGAGCGAGGGGACCCAGATGCTCCTCCAGTCGTTGAGTTTATTCGACCTCCGATCCTCCTGGAGGTTCCTGTAGAGGAGCCTCGTGTCCCTCCACATCAGGACGAAGGCGAGGTCGACGGAGATCTTGAAGTTCGCGATGTCTATGCTGCGTATCGTCCGGATCAGGACCGAGGACCGGAAGGGCACGGGTTCCTGGTTGATCTTCGGCGGCGGGAGCGAGGTGGAGTAGCCCTCGGGGATGAGGACGCGGTCGCAGTCGCTCTCGTCGCTCTTGTCGTGGCAGTCGAGGGAGAGGTCACAGCGCTTGGTCTTCGGGATGCAGCTGCCGTCGGTGCAGGTGAATTCGTGGCTTTGGCAGATTGTCAGGAGGAGAACCGGCTGAAGGAGGAGACGGAGGAAGGAAAGGTGTTCTAAAATCTAGCCAGGTATGAGAATGGCTTTGGAAAATCGTATTTTATTTGCATGTTTGAAATGACGGTCAGTACGATAAGACCGATACTATGTAAACTTTTTCATGATTATGTTGTTGTTTTTTTGCTTTATTTAGTGAAAAAGATCCCCGGAAAGCCAGGTTCCACTAGCCTAATCTGACGTACTTAGTATATGAATGGTAATATGTATATTCTCTCTGGCCTGCTTTGCGGAAAATATGTCAAATATTATAACAGAAATTTCCCATTTAAAACCAAGAAAAAGATCCACTACAGCATAGAAGAGCCAATAGCATCTTCAAGGGCGAAGTGGTATCCCAGTTCTCGCAATTCCACTTTCTTGGCCATACTCAGGCCAACCCTACACGCACCACAGGTAATGGTCGGGCATGAACCTTACAGAATACACAAAGGCAGATCCTTCTCAACCGTCTTTCGTCAAGTGCACCAAAGGGAACTAAGTTCCTACGCAGCTACGCATCAGATCAGTGGAAAAACGGCTCATCTTGATGTCTCAATCCTAGCATACGGATTTCACAGCCACAGGTCGCCAGAGTGAGAGGACAGACTCTGTTTTGATGTAATGATCTGGGAATTGCAAAGTTCCTTGAAATTCAAGAGAGGATCCCGTATAAAAGACACATTTACACAAATATATTTGGTATCGTGCACGCTACTACGTGTTAGATCCCATCGCTCCCACACATTTTGAAGTGTTGTAATTTGCGCTATCCACTTATCCTTAGCTATAGTGTTAACAATGCTCTTGTATTACTCTTCCTCACATTTGGCCTGTAGCCCTCCAATTCTTCATCTACACATTGGAATTGAGAGATATAAGGTCATATAGCTCATCGACCAGCCGATTTTCTCCGCCAATGCCCATTGTCTTTGGTACCCATCCCACCGCTCTGTTTGATGGGCTGAGTATAATGCTAGTTTCCCTTTGGGTGGCAATTTCTGTAAAGTGGGACATGATCCTTTTGTGCGCGTCTCTCTTGTCAGCCGGACTTACCTCTACCAGCTGTTTGCGACTGGTCGTCGTTTTAAGAACCCAGTATTGGAGAACATCAGACCTTCTGGCTCTGAGACTGTATTGTTCTTACCAATTGGTGTTGGTCTTTTTCTTCTTGCTGACTGTTGTAAATTGTAAAAGTCTTATCTTGTTCATAGATTTATGACCATATTTTCTACCCCGGCCACTAGGAGAGCGGACACTAAGGATAAAATTAACACAATGGTTCTCCCACAAGCTCAATATCTATAGCGTTACGTCTCTAGCACTTTTGAGGCATTCTTTCACTAGTTCGGAACCCTGGCTTGTACTCGCGCGGGATCCTTTTTTCCCAGCCGATTGAGGGCACACTGGCCTCAATAAGGAGTACATGAAAAAGTTTGACGGATCGTGCTCTTCGCGCTTCTCCACGGACTTGCACCTCTCATGCGAGAACAAATGCAAATAAATAATAACGTATTTCTTTCCTACATAGCGGCGACAGTCCACCCATACATCCCTCCATACCATAGGGCTTAAGTACTTTGCTACTGTCGCTATGAGATACACCTTTTCTCTTCCCTCCTACCGCGCGTCTGGCCTCGCCTTCGCCGGATTTCCTGCCTGATCCACATTCACCAAATGCCACGAAACTGTAGCTTCACACTATGTGGTCTTTTGTGTGCACTGGGCAACTGCACGTGCCCCTGAGACAGCCAGCGACTGTGATATGCGATCTCCAGGCAGTCGACTAGGGCCACCTGCACAGGGCGGACGAAGGACCGGGACCTCGGTGCAGCCAAGTGCGTCCTCATACCGGTGCTATTCCAGCGCTACGCGGCACCGCCGCCAATGTACTCAACACAGACCGTGCCGCTTGCTCGTGGGTTTCACGAAGGCGAGCCGGACGACTGATCAGCACAGCATCTAGCAGACCATGGCGACTACTTGACATGTATCACTCGTCGTGGTCGACTTCTGTCGCATTCGTGGAGCCTCTGGGAGCCGCGGCTTCCGTTATGCTCGAGCTCCAGGAGCTCGGCGGTTCGATAACGACTGGGCGCATTGGGTCCTCTGCTCTAATTGATAAAGGACTGAAGCGGCAAGCGTCCGAGGCCTAAACCTTTTTACACGGCTCGCTTGTGGGCAAGATGGCGGAGTCGCGTGCCAGAATGACGAAGCACCTATCTACGATAGTTGCGAGACTGTTGGTCTGTTAGAGGGAGAGGGGAGGAGCAGAGAGGAGGCTGAAGGAGGGAGAGTGAAGTGGCAGAAATCAGTCGGAGCGGTGAGAGAGGGAGCGAGGAAGTGGAGAGTCAGTGGGAATAGTGAGGCGACGGAGACGCAACGGGAGATGTGAGATTACGCGGCTAGAGATCGTGTCAGGGGAGACAATTCGTGCTCAGACGACACTGGGAGGTGTTGTGAGGTCCACGGGATGGATCCCGAGCCAGCTAAGGTAGGTCCAGGTGTCGGAGCATTTGGTCTTGCCGCTTGCTGTGGCGTTCCACATTAATTCGTTGTCAAATGCATTCCTTGGCAGGACCAGGTTCCCCCCGAGCCTCGTGCACCAGGAATTGGAAGAGATAAAGTCCATTTTTTCGGCAAAGAAAACGGAGAATTCAGGGACCTCGTTTCCGCACACCTGGCGCACCGCGATGTCCCCCGCCTCGACGTCTCCAACCTCCGTGAGTCTGCCGTCTCTCAATGACACGAGAGGTGAGGGGGCGCCCGGCACGTCTTTGCAGGCCGCCCACCCCGCCAGCTGGCTTGAGCTGAGAGCGTTGGCATAGAGTCTGTAGTCGGCGACGCTTCCGTCGAGAAACCCCAGTGAGTTGAAGTCGCCCTCGACCGAGTTAAGGCTCTGGCCGACCACGAGGCGCCCTCCGCCCTCCACCTCCAGGCGGCCGCTACCGCCAAGCCCTCTGGTGTTTACGTCCAGAGTGACTTCGCTAGACTGGAGGAGAAAAATGCTGCAGTTTCCAGTTTCTTCATAGAAGCGTTACAAAATGTGTTTGAATGCAGAGAAGGGGGGCGGGATTATCGGTATATACAATATGCAATGCATGCAAGCTGACCCAGCAACTTTCACCGAAAGAATAGGTATGCATAAGAACTGATATTTACCATCACAAGAGAGAAAGAATGGGAGAGAGAGGGAGGGAAGGGAAGAAAGTGATTAAGAAAAAAAAGGACGAGAACGAAAGGGAGATATAGAAATATACACATAGGTGGGGGGAGAAACCCGTGCATCCGCGCCTCACCGCATTGTTGTAGCGCACCAGCAGGCGCTTGGAGCGCAGGTCGAGCGCCAGCGCGAGCCGCTCCCACGTGTGCAACGCGATCTGCGCCGGGACGGTGGCGGCGACGCGGCCGCGGCAGCAGACCACGGAGAGCATTTTGTTTTCGGGGACGAATTCTGAAGAACATATTATGACATTAGGAGTTGCTCTGAGTATGCGCATATGTATACACACACGCATACTTGCATGCTGTATGAGTGAGTGAATGGATGGGTAAGTGAGTCCCACTGGTGCTGAATCTGACCGTCTGACACCAAGCCGAGACGACGCGCCCGGCCCGGCGGAGCCACTCACCGACCCGCAGCTCCCCGGGCGCGCCCTCGACCGCGTAGCTGAGCACCGGGATGTTCGAGGTCGTCCTCCGGTGCATGATGTACGTCAGCAGAGTGAGCTGAAGGGGAAGCAAGGTCAAAGGTCACTTTAAAGAAAATAAAGAGATGTGAACGAGAATAAGTCATTTCACATTTGTAATGTGTTTTGTCTTTATCACTTTACTTTATTCGTAATATAATATGTAAAGTTAACATAGATCGTATATGATTAGGAATACTTTCTGTCATTCTTCTTCTGTGTTGCTGGACCATGAGCGTACTTTTCCAACATTCATTTGATTTTGTTTTTTTCGGACAATTTCACAAAAATAAAAGACTGGCATTGAAGCGATGATGATTATGTGCGTATTTTGGAGCGTTAATGCGTATAAAATTATAAAGAGAGAGAGAGAGAGAGAGAGATAAAGAGAGGGAGAGTTGGAAGGGAAAGGAACACGTAAACTTAGAAGCCCAAGAGCACAAGCACGAGAGCACTTGCCTCCGAGAGCGGCGGGAGAGACCCAGTGCCGGCGTCCAGGTAGCTGTCGGCGGTGACACGGCCTCCTGTCTGGAAGCTCACCATCGGCACGGCGTGACAAGCTGGCGGGGGCGAGGGGGGGGGTGCGGTTAGGCCTAGGGAGTCTGGTGTTGTTTGTCAAGAATCGTGTTTGGAAATCTTATTGTTGTTCTCTTTGCCATGGTAGCGATGAGTGTGAGTCTTTCTCTTCTCTCTCTATCTCTCTCTCTCTCTCTCTCTCTCTCTCTTCTCTCTCTCTCTCTCTTCTCTCTCTCTCTCTCTCTCTCTCTCTCTCTCTCTCTCTCTCTCTCTCTCTTCTCTCCTCTCTCTCTCTCTCTCTCTCTCTCTCTCTCTCTCTCTCTCTCTCTCCTCTCTCTCTCCTCTCTCTCTCTCTCTCTTTCTCTCCTTCTCCTCCCCTCTCTCTCTCTCCCTTTCTCTCCTCTCTCCCTCCCTCTCCCCCCTCTCTCTCCTCTCCCTCTCTCTCTCCCTCTACCCCTCTCTCTCTCTATCTAATTATTTCTCTATGCAAACACACACACACACACACACACGCACATCTATCTCTATAATTATATCTCTATGAAAACACACACACACACAAACACACACACACACACACAGCACGGCGTCCTTAGATTAATTAATATCACACAAACACGTTGGCGGTTCCCTTGAGCGAACACATTCCTCCTTCAGCTGCCAACAAGATTACACCTAATTGCAACAACAAAGATGCAACACGTTTGGCCTGATTGCATCGCCCATGTCTTTATAGAGATAGAGAAGCCATTAGTGTATATTCATTTTCCCATATTAGCAATTAAATTTATTAAGTTGAAATTAAAGTCCATTCTTGCTATTGTCACACAACACTCATGAAAATTCTATGAATAAAATGTCATTATATATTCATACGGTGATGTTTTACTTATATGTATGTATGTGTCCATGTTACAGGACAGTCGCTTAATTATGAATAACGAAGGCTACAATCCTAACTGGAATACTGTCATACCGAGCACCGTATGTATTTACATATATACATTCATATACATGTATATGTATATATATATATATATATATATATATATATATATATATAATATATATATATATATACACACACACACACACACACACACACACACACACACACACACACACACACACACAACACACACACACACACACACACACACACACACACACACACACACACACAC